CCAAGATTGTCACGGACAGATATCGCCATGGAGCTGGTGCCTATAGGGTCGCTGTCCCTCTACCTCAAGGAAACCTCGATATCGCCCGGTACATAGTTGAATGCTTCCTCTGCTGGACCAAGACCTAATGCTAGTTTGTTTCGCCAGGAGAGGATACCAGTCGAGATATTATTGCACAAGTAAACTCTGCTCTATTATACCTTCATGCACGGGGTGTAGCACACAGGGATATCAAACCTGAGGTCAATCATACCAACAAATAAGTATTCATGCTGGACAGTACTCATGTTCATGGAATCCTCGCAGAACGTTTTCTGTTTCAAGGTGAAGCCCAAGATGGTGGTCAAGCTCACTGACTTCGGCCTCGCTGAAGTGACGGAAAGAATTGATCCAGATGCCCGGACTGTAAGACACATTCCTTGATTGTGTTGCTCTGTTGAACTGACTGGGATTGCCAGACCCGCTGCGGTACCCTGTCGTATATGGCCCCAGAGCTACATAGCGGCCTTAGAAACTATAACACCAAGATTGACATGTGGTCATTAGGGGTGATGATGTTCTTTCTGTGAGGGTTTTTTCTAGTCCGATTAAATCCATCCCTCACATCAAATCAACAGACTCTCCTTCTCATTGCCCTTTGATGTCAGCTTTGGGCCCGTAACCATCCAAATGTATAATATCAGATGGCACCTCATTGGAGCGATTACTGACGACGGTAAGTCTTAGTTGTAACGCGATTGAATGATGAATTCAATGCAGATTGATCATTCAATATTCAGCTAGGAGCCTCATTGGGATGCTTCTGCACATCAATGTTCCCACTCAAGCATCATCTAAGACAGGTGATAACCACTATTGGTTGTATGGAGCCAACCGCCTCAATCAAGTGCCCCAATAGTGTCTTGCTTCCTGCAGCATGATTACGTGCAGTTGTATTGAATGGATACATATATAGATGCCAGAGTTTATGCAATGTTGGACTGTTTTTCATGCAGACTCTGAGCGTTGAACGACCGAAGCAGACCTTTCCATTGGCTGCATGCTAAGTTATACTAACAACAGTGTCTACACTGACTACTCCAAGCCGTTGCTTGAATTGATGTTGCTTCTATTTGTGCCTTTGACACCTTCAACCGCAACAAGTGAACTGATCGCTAGATCGCTACATGACAAGATGTGTTAGACCCAGGGTGTATGCTGTGCGAGGGGACGCCCCTGGCCACTGCTTGCATTGCATCTCTATCTAGCGAGTTTCAAGACACTTTGCCCATCATATGCTTCCTTTGTCTCTCTCGTCAGCTTATAGTAACACGAGGCAATTCATTTTTTAATCTATACAGATATACATTGCCTCGGGAAACTATAACTGAGGTTGTTCCTTACTTGCGATGGTTTCATTCATCGAATTCAGAGAGTGGAGTATGAGGGTCAGCAAGGAGATCTTCCAGGTGTTCTCCTGAGGACATTCATTACATTTTGTCCCAAGCAAGCTATTTTGCATCAGAGAAGTCTTACGAGAGGAGTTACTTTATTGAAAGCTGTACAAGAATCTGTTGTTGGCATGGTCATTGCTGACCTTTCTAATCCAATACCCCTTTCGTCCGCATCTGGTAGACTCTCTCTCGCTCTGGTGGTCTAAGTCCGTGATCAATGCTGATCCGACTGTTAATGCCATATCTGAGCTCGCGATGCACGCAACGGGACAACAGTGGTCGGAATAAGTGTACAAGAGCACAGACATCAGTATTGCTGACATTTACTGTGGCTGGAAGTACCTCCCATTCACTGATCTCTATCATCTCTCAAGTGATGTGACTCATACTGGCACGTAGCCATCAATGTGCGCCCTAGTGCACCATGGCAAGTCACATAATGACACTCTAAAGCGACAAAGATAAGTCAGAACAGAAATAAGAGGTTCACAAAGATTAACATAAACTTACTCAGACTTCTTGAGCCCCCGTAACGACTTGCGCAATCCTCAATGCAACATGCATACAGTTTGTTGTTGAGCCAGGTATCTTCGAATTGGCGCAACTCTTCTGAACACCAAGAGTTACACCAGCGTCGCTGGAGGTGGCGCATGAGGCCTTTTGTCTGCGTGTACGATTTAATGCACTCTGGATTTGGGCATTTATAGGGCCTATACAGTGGCGACAAGGTCGCCTGTTCAGTGAACCGTGTACGAGGTCGAGACCTCCCAGGAGATGTGGCTGGAACGCTGGGTAAAAGTCCAAGTGAGTCCCAGCCGTTCCCGTCGGAAGATACAGAAGCTTCAGGCGAGGCATAAGGTGCTGTGCTTTTCATCTTAGGCATGGCAAGAGCCGGATGGTTGCACAGCTTGTGGTAGTTTGGCTCCTCCCCTTGCTGGACAGATGCCCCGTCTGAGGGGGGAGACGAATAGCGTCCAGCAGAGCAGTTCAGGACATCTTGTGTAGTGGTGGGCAAGCTGTGCACAGACAAGAGTGGGGCGGCGGACCCCACTGACCTAGGTGATGATGCAGAGGATGCGACTGTATCAGAACTTGAACTGGGAATGGTTTCGCTAGACCCCTCGAGACATGCAGGAGAGATAGACACGTTGAGAGGACAGGACAAGGATGGGTCCAAGCGGAGGGTGTCACGAATACCGGTATGGAGCCCCTTGTTGTTGTAGAACGTGCCGTCATGAGGGCACCTTTTTGGGTCTGGGAAAGGGTGCTTTTGGGAGACGGCAGAGTACTTCCCATATCATTGTGGAAGATTTGGTTCAACTACAGCAGCACAGCGTTCTGCCTGAAAATCTTCAGCAAGCTCTGTGGCTTGCATGCTTGTTGGATGACTCCTGCAATTTCAGTACTAGTAACAAAATCAGCGATTGTCAGCATGAAGCAAGGTCGATTGACTCGAGAATGCTTACTAGCTCCAACCCCTGATTTTCGACTAAGTACTGGAGTTCAAATACGCTCAAGTCGGTAGAATCTCCATGGTTGTTCATGGAAGAGGAAGCATGGTCGAGATACGAGTCGCTGGAAGAGATGCTTGTTAGCGCATGCCGCAATGAAGCTGACTATTGATTAGTATGTACTCCTGTTGTTCCGATAGCTGTCCGAATAGGTCGGAGTAGAAGGCACTGTTCTCCCAGCAATCACTAGAGGAGTCCCAGTAGTTGCGATTGGTCAGAAGGCAGATGTCATCATGGATTGGATAGAGGCCAGTTTCAATACGCCAAGGGTATTTCATGACCCAACTACGTGGTGGCGGCCAAATATGCTCTTGCAAACGTGATTATGACAAGACTATCAAGCACTGGCAACGTCGAAAACTTAAAGGAGGAGACCGCTACCTGGAAGAGCATCAATGTGGCGGGGTTGTAATTGTGCTGCTTGGTAATCACCTGTGACGTCGAGTGTTTTGATGCGGCCGGGTGCGCCAGTGGCACCTCCTTAAAATGATTTTCTTACGGCGAGGTAGTATTTGCGTTTGTCAAAGCCTCAAACCGCCTAGAAAACTTCACAGCCAGGGCCGTTCACACTTCGTAGGTCAAGGTGAATACCTTTAATTTCTGACTAAGTCCTTGGGTCATTCCTTTCAAAGGAGTTTTGAATCCAATTGAATATGCATCCATAGTCCCACCAATGAAATAAGCAATGATTGCAACCTTCTAACTAGTTGAAAACTGGTCCATAGTACGAAGAATGTCACAAAATTACCATAATTAAATTGACGACACAGTATGCACGTTGCAACGCTTGAGAGCGAAGGCAAAGGGGTAGCTTTTAGAGTGCGATGCTCTCCCAAGCACACGTGACCGCGTTGTCTTGGCGTTCCAACTTCCCATCGTAGGTACCAGCTTCAAGTTCCTCTGAGCTCAAGCAAACAACCAGCACTAAAATTTCAGACAAAGTCTATCTGGTGAAATTGAGGCCTGAAGTTGTACAAAGAGACTTGTCATCGTCACTTGACTGCGAGTTGAAGTTGACTTGAGTTCACTGGCCCACGGAACTTGAAAGACGGACGGATAGCAAACAGTTCGAATTTGTGTGGAAAGATGTTGTGAGAGAAATCTGTAAAGTCAGGCTTATGCGATTGGTGCCAGCATGCTTGACGTAAGTGTGGTGTGTGCTCCGTTAGGGAACATGCCAGTACTCACGGTGGTTTGAGCCAAGCTCGGATGCAACTGATTGACGCGTTGTGGTTTGTTTGGGCGTTGTTAATGCTTGCTTGAACTCGGGTTGACTCAGCTGAGAGATAAACCGGATGCTGGAATGCCTCTTTTCCTTCTGACCGTGGCAGGCTGCACGGAGCACTTTGCAGTTACTACTCACTTTTCACTCCCCTGACCAGTTGTTCCTATTGTCAGTGATATTTACTCACGGCAAGTTGACTTCACCACTTGAGTACGAACCTCAACGCGCCCTCTGCCACGAACACGACCTCAAATGCATGACTCGCGCCAGAATTAAAGCTCAAAGGCTCACTCTTCATGAGCGTGTTCTGTCATGTCCATGGAGATAAGTATCATGCATACTCACCCCTGTATGTCCATTTCTCCATTCAGGACATGCGTGTTTGTACTGATCTTTGGACTGCAAATCTTTTTTCTAGACCGTCCTCGTCTGAAGTGTACTTATCTTCTCCGTTCTGTGTCGCGGATAGTGATTCCACTTAGTTCCCATTTGTCTATGTATAGCTCACATTTGCACGCTGTTGGATTAATTCATTCGTTGAACAATAATCCCACTGTGTATTTCATATTTTTACACAATCCGACTACTCCTGTGTTGTACCAGTACTGTCACAACTCATCCATTCCTGGATCAAGCCCTTACGGTTTGACGCGCATTGTTTCTGTGCTACACTGTCTTTGGCTGGGTGCAGAAACAATGGATGATCTAATCATTTGTCAGCCCTCTCAAGATCTTTGGACGAGAGTTTGGAGGAGGATACCATCGAGCATGCTCAGTCTTTACTATGTAGTATAGTCTACCGGGTGTTAAAGGAAGGCAGAGCGAAAAGAGTGACCTGACTGGGAATCGAACCCAGGACCTCCAGCATATATAGGTAGCGCTTTAACCACTGAGCCATCAGGCCTGAGTTCAGTACTAGCAGGACGTACCTTACTAGTCATCCCTAAGGCAGATCATGTGACCCTCACATGGCACTACTTTGAGTGCTTCATGCTTGAAGGAATTATGCACTCATATTGGCTACCTGAGTCACACTGATCGACTCTGTGACACGTGACTAAGCAACATCCAACAGCCCACCATGATTAGGCAGGTGTCACATGAGCTCGCCCAGGTCAGGTGATCACTCCTCCTCGCCATGTGGCACTCCCTGTTGAAGATCCAGATGAGCTAGATGCGGTGGGAGACCATCACCAAGCCCCAGCTCGAGATGAGCCTGCTCCAGCTCCACCAGATGAGGGTCCACAGCCCCAACTGGGAGAAGAGCCTGCTGTACCTCCATCACCCTCTCCAGAACCTGCCCCTATGCCTGAACCTAATCGCTCTGCATCTCCAACACCACCTCCAGCACCAACACGACGCAAAAGAGGACTGTCTAACGCCTCTGAGCCCACCAGACGATCTAAACGACCATCTAGACGTCCTGGACAATGGTGGAAAGTAGATCCAAACAAGATCTACAAAGTGCGAGACCAGGAACCTGTGATAGAGTCTTCAGATGAAGAACAGGAGCAGGAGGCAGCACCAGCACCAGCTGAGGAGAGTAGTGATGACGAACTGGCACTGTTGACCTCTGGCTTAGACTTTATGTACCCAGACCATATGCACCTTCCCTTCCATTCGAGTCTGCTCTGGAGTATGCATTCAATACACGCACTGCTGCTACTCCTGAAGAGCCCCAGACGTTCAAGGAAGCTCTGCAACGCCCAGACCATCCACAATGGCTCAAAGCAGCCCAGGATGAAATCAGCTCCCACCTTGAAAATGGCACCTGGGAGTTAGTTCAGCTTCCTCCAGGTCGCAAAGCTATTGGATGTCGCTGGGTGTTCAAGATCAAGCGCAATGCTGATGGGTCTATAGAGCGGTACAAGGCAAGACTGGTTGCTAAGGGATTTAGCCAAAGACCTGGACTTGAGTATGATGAGACATTTGCCTCTACTCTTAAGTGGTCAACCCTGCGCACCATCTTAGCTATTGCAGCCATTGAGGACCTCGAAGTTGAGTCTATTGACTTCTCCACTGCATATCTAAATGGAGAACTCGACAAAGAGGTCTATATGAAGCAGCCAGAGGGCTTCAGTGAGAAAGGCGACAACTGGGTGTGCAAATTGGTGAAAGGACTCTATGGGCTCAAACAGTCAGGACGACTCTGGTACAAGAAGCTGGTTTCTACACTCCAGGAGATGGGCTTTGAACTGCTCAAAAGTGACTCCAGTGTGTACATCCTCGACAATGGGACAGTAAAAGTGATTCTACCAGTCTTTGTAGATGACTGCACACTTGTCTCCAAGTCAAAGGATGCCATTGCCGATATCAAGGCCACACTGCTGAAGCACTTCAAACTCAGGGACCTAGGTCCCACATCGTTCCTCCTTGGAGTGGAAATCACCAGAGATCGCCCCAAACGGACCTTGCAGCTGTCTCAGAAGCAGTATATCCTCGACCTACTTGAGAGGTTCAACATGACAGACTGCAAACCGGTTGGAACACCCATGGAGTGTGGCTTGAAGCTCACCAAAGATATGGCACCCCAAACTGAGCAAGCGAAGCTTGAGATGCACTCTGTACCCTACATGAATGCGGTGAAAGCTCTGATGTATCTGGCCACTGCAACGCGCCCGGACATTGCCTACATAGTCTCTGTACTATGCCGCTTCAACTCCAACCCTGGCCCAGAGCACTGGAAAGCTGTCAAACACCTCTTCAGATACCTCAAGGGCACCCTCAACCACAAGCTCACATACTCTCCAACTGATGACTCTGAGCCCTTTCATGGCATACTCTGATGCTGATCATGGAGGCAACCCAGACAGCGGAAAGAGCACCAGTGGCTATGTGGTGAAAGTTGGTACAGGCGCAGTCTCTTGGAGTTCGAAGCAGCAGTCCATAGTGGCACTGTCCACCACTGAAGCTGAATATGTTTCTGCAGTCTCATGTGGCACAGAGATCATTTGGATGCGCAACTTGCTACATGAGCTTGGGTATGAGCTACCTGGACCTAGCACACTTCATATGGACAATCAAAGTGCAATGCAGGTAGCCAAGAACCCAGAGCACAATGGCAGGATGAAGCATCTGGACTTGCGCTTCTACTGGCTCAGGGATGAAGTGGAGAAGGGAACACTTGGCATCAAGTATGTTCCCACAAACTCAATGGTCGCAGACATTATGACAAAACCATTGAACAAGACTAGGATTATTGAGAGGCTGTCTATGCTGGGACTTGTAGATGCAGCCGATTAGGTGGGAGTGTTGAAGTTGGATAATAGCCTGCATCAACAAAAGAAAGGTTATTGTTTGTGGAGAACAAAGGAACTCTATTGTCTTCTATATTAGGTACATGATAGATAGTCAGCACAAAGGACAGTCATTGTGTTTAGTCAGCATAAAGCACCACCATTGTGCTTAGTCAGCACAATGGGATTCTATTGTCTATTGTCCTATAATTAGCCTATTGTCTATAGTTCTATTGTTCTAGTGTGCATTGTTCTTTTCCCCATTGTCCCTGTAGTATATAACTGTAGGTACTCTGATCAATGCAAGTTGAGGATTTTTCCCACAAGTCCCTTGTGTGATTCTAACATCTGCTTCATCATCAGTCATGTCAGAGGTTATTGTGATACCCCATCCGAGAGTACCAGATGAAAAGAGAAGAGGATATGCAAGTGCTTTTCAAAGACGACTGATGGTTGCAATCGATTAATTCTCTGAGTTTAAACGAGAAATGGTCAGATGACATGAATGAATCTGAAATTGTGTTGTATTTTTATATGACATTACAGTGGCAATCTTGGGTGACATCTCAGTGTCTTCTAAGATTATCGAAGCGTGTGGACAGACTTCCATGAGTAGCTGACTAAGGGAATGAAGCTGAGTAGCAAATGGGTTGATAGCGAGCAATGCATTCGAAACAATTTGCAACCACTTAAAAGGTAATTTAGCTGCTATCTCTGAAAATGGCACAGATTGCCTCATAAACCCATCATAGAGAAACCAACGGATTCCAGAATTGGTATGTGATGGGCGGATATAATGGAATACATGGCCCTGCACTGCAAGAAAGGAGAGAGCACCTGATTGAAATTGGAGGAAAGTAGCTGTTGTCTCCAAAGACACGAAAGAGAAAAGAAGGTTCAATTTTTGAAAATCTTAAGAGATGTTGGGATAAGAAATCAATGTTGAGAAAGAGGATGAAAGTGGAGGTAAAGGTGGAGCATCTGAGAAACGGGATCTATTGGGACCACAACAGAAGCCGCTTTTCTCTCCTGTAAGGAGAGAAATGTCGCATGTACTGCATTTATGGCGCCGCCCAGCACGCATGGCACCTCAAGTTAGCTGTTAAAGTGTGTGTGTATGATGGACAGCATGTCACTAAGCCACTGCTAAGATTAGCCACTTGACATTATCAGGGTTAATCAGTGGCTCATGCAGTGAACCACTGCTGTGGTTAGCCACTTGACATCATTAGGGTCAGCCACTCACAGAGTAGCTCTTATCATGGTGGCTCATATCAGATCTTATTGTTTTCAATCTTATTGTCTCTCAGTGGCAAGTAGCCACTGCTTCCTATATTTAAGAACTGTGTACCGATAGTGGCAATACATTCTGTTTTCCCCCTTCTCAAGTCGAGTTCTTGTGAGTTCAACAGGTTATCCCTCTTGCTCAACATCCCCCTCATTCCTCACCGCCGGACTCGCGACCACTACTGACGGTCACCTCCCCCCCTCGTTACCAGCTGCTCAACGCAGCTCACCCTCCCTGGATCGCAAGACTCTGGAGCCCATCTTGGGTTCCAGAGAAGGTAAGAAATTCCTCACTAAACAAGTCACTCACTCAGGTGGAATCAGCACTCCAACGGGTCCTGACTGCTCACATTCGCTCGGAGATGGGAGAAGAATTGAGGGACCAAGGTAAGTTCCTCCCTGTGTTTTACCTTTTTCCCCAACCCCATCGTATTCGATAGGGGTCATTTCCTTTTTTTTCTTTCTCCTATCCCTCCTCCTTTCTCCACGGCCCTAGCCGTGCACTAAGAGTGCATGGCTGGGTCGTTCTCTGTTCACCTTTCACTCAGAGTAGCTGCATTCACGTAGGTAGATTCATGTAATGCTATGCAACCTCAATACCATGGTTTTGATATGCTACAGGGGCGAACAAAAAGGGCATTGTGTCCTTTTAGGGTTAAGTTTAGTATTCTAAAATAGAGTTTTGCCTTACATAAGCTATTATGGTCCGTGCGCTGAGGGGTACGGAGTTGCCTCTGCCTTGTTCTGACCCTCTTCTCTTGCTTCACTGTCCCCCACAGATTTCTTGCAATCTTGGTATGTGCCTATGATTATGATACATTTTGGTGTTCCTGAAGTCTCTGCTCACTCGTTGCAGTAGCATTTCCAACTGGGCAACTTGTGTTTTACCAAAGGCTTTTTACGTAGGCAATCGTTGCAAGATAGATAGTCATCAAATCACCGATAAGCATGTCCTGTTCATTGATTGAAATCCGGTAACCATTGATCAAGGACCATCTCACAGGAATCTGTCAGGGTCTTCGATCCCACCTCCTTGTCAATCAAAATCTTCATTGTAGGTTCCAACCCTGAGTCAGGCCCTTGTAGGTCCCCATCAGTTGAAGAGGTCATTAATGAGTACAATGGTACGTGCTTCTTATCTCTGACATAAATCTCTCTCATCAGATTGTGATTGTAGCTGACCTTGCTTGCCGTAACAGTACGTATTCTGTTCATATCTATTCTATTCACACTGAAATCATTCTCTATATCTCAGAGAGGCGTAAAACTTGCCAAGATACTCCAGGGCCTTCAACCGAAGACCCTGAGATTGCGATCGGTTTTCCTGACTGGCACGCAGACCCTCGATATGTGCACATCTTCCATGATCTTCAAGAGGTTC